TCTCACATAGTGGGTGTGTCAGCATACACGTTTGTGGTTTACATGTGTACAATATAGGCTAGGTGAATTTCTGGTGTAGATAATTACATGTTATATCTGTATCCCTTCCGTCATTAATTCTCTTCTGAACATTTTATGCCTTGGCCTTGTTTTAATATATTCTCTTGCCTTATTTATTGTTCTGTGCACTACCGTATTTTTTTACGAATACTACCCATAACGACGCAAACTCTCCATGTCAAGCGCGGGAGTTTCAATCTCGCCAGCCCCCCATCTTCTCGAAACTTGATTTTCCTGAGCTGCTGGCAACCGCCAGCAGGATCCCCAACCAATTTGGCTCTTTTTAGTGCTCGTTATCGCCGACGAGTCTGCGACACCTCGTTGGTCCATCGCAGCGCTACTCGCCAATCCTGTGCGACATGGACGACGACGGCGGAATGTCGCTCTTCGAGGGGATGGACTTCGTCGATCCCTCCACGCTCCTCTCCCCACCCCGCGCCGTCGATGCCGCGAGCACCCCGTCATTTGAATCGCCTGACTCCTCCCGCGCTGCTCCTCTTGCCGACGCGCCGCACCAAGAGCTTCCCTCAGCAGGCGATCTCTCCAATCAGGGCTCTTCCTTTCAAGTCCCGATACAAGCCTCCTCATCCGCTTCGTTACAGGCGTCTGTTGTTCCGGAAGGCACAGACGAAGCGAGAAAGTCTGCACCGCTGGACGCTTCGCTGTTCACTTCGGAACCCGCCGCCACACTAGCAGACACGTCACCAGCCACGTCAGCAGCCTCTGCAGCAGCCATTGCGGGATCGGCGGCGGGTAGCCCGGCGCCGCTGTCTCCCGCGGCCGCCCTGGCAGCCCTCTCGCCTTCCGTTGCCGTCCTCTCGCCGTCCCTGCTTCCTGTAACGGCACCGGCCGGCAGCGGCGGCTCGCCCATTACCGGCTCTCCTAGCGCCAGCGTGGCAGGCTCGGCGGCCTCCTCAGGTGGCGTTTTATCCAGTGCCACCTCCAAGCCTGTCGGTCTGGTTCGGAAGAAGAAGCGGAGCATCAGGATCGGGTACGAGCGGGACTCTGCGGAGGAGGCAGCAGGTTCGGCGGGGGCAGTGGCGGCGAGATCTGCGGACGCGAGTGGCAGCAGTGGCGCAGCGGGGTTGGCAAGTTCGCGGAGCAGCCTATCAGAGACGGAGATTGTTGCAGGCGACGGCGGAGACGGAGGGGCTGGGGGGACGGGCAGGGGGAGTCTTGCAGAAGAGCTAGCGGAGGAGGGGCGCGGTGGAGTGTTGGAGCAAGGGCTGTCGGGTAATGAAGTGACGAGTGGCCATGGCGGTGATGGGCGTGCCACAGCTGGTGTGGATGGCGAGGCAGAGGGGGGTTTGACCGATACCAGTGGCACTGGTGCTGGTGCTGACGACAGCAACGTGGGCAGTGACGTCATGACAGATGAGACGAAGAGGGGCGTGATGGACGCGCCCTCAGCAGCCAATGGGATTGCAGAAAATATCGAGGTGGAGGAGAAGAAGGGCGCTGTAGAGGAAGCAGCAGAAACTGCTGACGTGGCAGGAAGTGCAGAAGCGGGGATGCAGGAGGGAGAGCATGAAACTGCTGACCTGTCGCCTCCTCCAGCCATGTCAGCTGACCCTGCTGATGCAGCAATGTCAGGCCCAGACGAGGCAGGAAGGGAGGGAACGGAGGCGACAGGGACAGACAGGGAGGATGGGGCAGAAGCGACGGAAGAAAAAACAGAAGTGGCCGCAGGAGCGATGGTTACAGGAAGGGATGACACAGGGGGTGCGGAGGGTGGTGAGGGAGAAGACGATGGGGAGGCAGAAGCTGGTCTTGGGGGAGAATTAGAACAACAAGTGAAGCGCCTCCTTGCTGACGTGGCAGCTAATCTGGCCGCCGTGCAGGCCAAGATCCGTGACGCCACATCAGCACGAAAACGGGCGGTCCAGATGCGCCGGCAGGCAGCCCAGCGGGCGGCAGCCGCAGCGAAGCGATTGGAGGAGATTGAATCTGAGCTGGCAGCGGCGTGCGAGGCGGAGGAGTTTGAGCTAGCAGACGAGCTGAGCCAGCGGGCGGAGCGGGCGGCGGGCGAGGTGAAGGACTGGGGCGGCGAGGTGGCGCAGGCGGAGGAGCAGGTGGGGCGGTGCAGCAGTGACGTGCTGCGACTGACAAGTGAGGAGGCGGAGATTGAGGTCGGGGCTGCCGAGGCCCTCCGACGCATTCACAGGGTGAGTGGCGGGATGGGGAGTGGGTGAGGAATGTTGAGATTGAAGATGCAGTTTGGCAGATGTTGGCCAAGACTAGCACAGAGGCCGCAAATAGGCTTTTGAAAGCGTATGTAGTATTGCACTCAGTTAAAACAATGAATGAATACATTGACCATTTTTTAGATATGTGGCGACTTGTCCAGCAACTAATAGCAACCTTATTCCCGCTTCCCAACTTTTCACCTTTCCCCCATCCCAACCGTTCGCCTTTGCCCCACTCCCATCTCTCGCCTTCTCCCTGCCAGCAAGCGGCAGCAGCAGCAGCAGAAGCCAAGCAGGCAGCACAACAGCAGGGGGAGGAGGAGGAGGGGCGGGTGGCAGCAGAGGAGGCTGACGTGGACATCAAGAAGCGCAAGCTGGCGGTTGAGCGGCGCGTGCTGGACGAGGAACGCGCTGAGCTGGCAGCCAAGGTGGACGCTGCCACGTCAGCGGAGCGCCAGGAGCGTGAAGAGCTGGAGAAGGGGCGTGCTGAGCTGGAAGCTGAGCTGGCAGCGTTGATGGAGCAACTGTGTGCAAAGGAGCGGGAGATAGAGCAGCAGAGCGTGCTTATAGCGAAGGTGGATGGGAAGATCTCAGCCGTTGCCGGCAGGTTTGAGAAAGCGAGGGGAGGACTGGAGGAGGAGGAGAGGAAGGTGGTTCAGATGGAGGAGGAAGTGAGGGAGATGGAGAAGAGGGTGGAGGAGGGGAGGCGGAGGGTGGTGGAGGTGGTGGAGGAGGGGAGGAGGGTGGCGGAGGGGTTGGAGAAGGTGGGGAGCAGGGCGGAGGAGGAGGCTGAGAGGCTAGAGCAGGCGGTGGAGGGGAGGAGGAGGGAGGCGGAGGAGGTGAGGGCGGTGGCGCAGCGCAGGGAGGAGCTGACGGCCGCGGAGAAAGACGCCCAGGCGGACCTGGAGGCGCTTGGGGAGGCCATGGGTGAAGTGAAGACGAGGCTGCAGGTGAGCGGGGTTGGTTGTGTGGAAGTGGGGAGGGGGTAAGGAGGTGTGTGTGCTTGGCAGTGGAGAGCGAGGGCGTGTGAGTGGAAGGGGGGCTTGCTGTACAAACGTGTGCAAGTATGGGAGAGGCAGCGAGCGATGCTTGATGGGACGGGGATTTGAAAGGGGGTCACAAAATCTGGGCTTCCTGTCGGCACTGCGCCGGGTGTGGTGTGTGCAGGCTGATCCCAACATCTCCCCCTTCCCCATACCCCAACCCCAACCCCAACCCCAACCCCAACACCAAACCCCTTCTCATGCTCGCACCCCATCCTCCTCTTGTCGCTCACCATCACATTTCCCCCGAACGATCGTCATGGACCACTATAGTCTCTGCCTCCTGACCCTTCCTTTTCTTCACATAAACCCTGAACCCTCATGGCCTCCCACCTTCATGCCCCTTCTCCTCAACACCGCATCTGGCCCCCGCAGGAGCTAAGTGGCGCGCGGCAGAAGGCGCAGGAGGAGCTGGCGGCGGTGCACCAGCGCCTGGCAGCCGCCGCCCGCCGCATCCCCGAGCTGGACGCGCAGAAGAAGGCGGCGGCCGCCGCCCGGAACTTCAAGGAGGCCGCCCGGCTGGCAGCCGAAGCAAAGCTGTTCTCCAACGACCGGGAGGCGGCAGAGAGGCAGGTGAAGGAGTGTGAGGAGGAGATTGCACGCGTGGAGCGGGAGGAGGTGGGGAAGCAGGAGGAGGTGCGCGCGATGGAGGAGATGGTGAGGGAGAGAGAGAGGGAGGTGGGCGTGGCGCGGTGTGCGAGGTTGAGACTGGTGGCGGCGGTGGCACGGCGGGAGATGGAGGCGGCGGCGGAGGGGGAGGACTGGGAGGAGGCGGAGGGGCTGCAAGGGGAGGCACAGGCGGCTGATGGGGAGGCGGATGCTCTGCAGCTGCAGTGGGGGCTGCAGGGGGAAGAGTATGAGCGGAGGGAGTGAGGGGGTACCGGAGGGGGCCCTGTTTCGGGTTTTGGATGGGAGTGAGGCTACTCGTATTGTTGGAAGGGTGGTGGGCCACGGAGAAATGATGGAAGTTGGAAGGTGGAGGGAGCGTGAGTCCGAGGACGTGGGCAGACGATCAAGAGCAGTGAGGGGGAGAGGAGGGGGGATGCGGAGAGAGGGTGGAAGGGGGGAGGAACAATGGGGAATAGGTGGGAAATCGGGAGAGGCAGGATGGAGGAGAGGAACAATGTGCATGTGGGGGACAGAAAGCGTGGTGGAGGCCAACGTTTTGGAGGTCCAAAAAGGCCTAAAAGACATGTTCGATGATTCCCCATTAATTTTATCCTGCTTTGGACATCATCAGTGCTAGACAATAGTCTGACTGATCCTCTATTGGCCTGTTGTGCTGTCATGCTCACGAGCTAAGTACGGTATGCATTTGGTGTGATGCATGTGCTACGGTAGTACACAAACAATAAACCACCCTCTACACTGCATGCACTGGAATCACGCAAGAGCACAGCTCATGATGATTCCACACAAGGTCAAGCACAAACAATCCAATGCCTTTTGATTGCAGAAGCATGAGAAACAAACAATATCGACCGGAGGCTGCACCTCAGCTGGCACAAACGCACACTCGGTAGGTAGGAGTGCCACTGGACTGGAAAGACAGCTGCAGTGATACTTGCCAGCACCGACCTCACAGGCAGCCACACCGCGGCAACCTTGCAATGACACACACAAGCCGAATTGTACAACAAAACTATCTGCCAAAAACACGGCACCAATCGCTCCGTTCTTTTGCAGGTGGGGTCGGCAAATGGCGGAGCTGCTACTCATCCCAGTCACCGTTGAAATCATCGCCCCCATCATCACCGCCATCCTCAGCGCCCTCAAGCTCCCCAAACACATCCTCCGATGCCCTCTCTTCCACCACCACCCTCCGCCACCTCCCTTCTCCCACTGCCAGCTGCTCCTTCCCCCCCCTTCTCACACCACCTGCTCCCTGCCGCCCTTCCCCATCATGCTCTCCACTGCCTCTTCCACCGTGAGCCACTGCTTGTCAGGGTTGCTCTCCACCTGCTTGTTCCACCCCACATGCACCGCCTTCTGCTGCCTCTCTGCTCCCCACTACGCCCATCTGCCCTTGTGAGTTTTCCGATGCTCCTCCTCCATCGCCTGCACCTTCTTTCCCAGACTCCCTCCCACTTGCACTTCCTGGCCCTTTTGATTGCTCCTCTCGCCCTACCGCCTGTTGCTTTCCTGCCCCAGCAGCAGCAGCACCAGCAGCAGGTTGCGGGTGCGCGAAGGAGAAGAGGCGGACAGCGAAGGCAAAGGCACGGTCGAACAGGAAGGGGCGAGCAGCCTCTGCTAGCGCAGACAGGCGGGCCACCACAGGGGGACGGGGAGTGCCAGTGAGTGGGGGGCGAGCAATGAGGGGTGGGCGGGCAGTGACAAGTGGCTGCACGGCGGATCTGGGGGGCCACACGGTCCTCATGGTGCTGATGGGAGGGTGCCTTGACGCCTGATGACCTGACACCCTGCCACTCCTCGCACATGTTGCTGTTGGTGTGGCACGTGCCGAGGTGGCAGGGAGCGGTGCTGGTGGGGGCTGGGTGGCGGGCGGGTGGAGGAAGACTGCGAGCAGATGATCCACCACCATGCCCACGTCCTGCTCCTGCATGCATGCACATGCACATGCACGCACACATGCAAGAATGCCCCACATGCAAACATACACACATGCATGCGAACATGGATGCACTGCACACACACGTTGGTTGGTGAATGGAGGGAAGGTGGTACTTGAGCAAGGATGGCACGAGTGCATGCCAAACCTTTCCCCAACTGTGCTGGCAAGCACACTGACGAGCATCCCCTCCCACTCATCCATCCCACCACACGGAAACCACCCTCGCACGCACACACAAGCGCAAGAACGCTCACTGACCTTCATGAGCGCCTGCAGCTCCACAGTCATCCACGCGTGCACCACACTCTCCGTCGGCGCACTCTCCGCCACTCGGTGCCGCCCCCGCTGCTGCCACCCGCCCTTGCCCGCTCCGCCTGCCCTCCCTCTCGTGCTCTCTGCACCCTGAGCTGCACACAGGGGTGACGGAGATGGTGCAGGCGATGGCAGCGCTGGTGCCACTGCCATAGGCGAGCTGGTGTAAAGGCGCCTCCGCTTGCAATGCTCCCCAGAGGGCACAAACGCGCTGGAGGAGTGATAGAAAAAGGGGGGAGGGGTAGGGAGTGATGGAAGATAAGTAGGAGCAAACCAGAGGGGAATCATGTGGAGGGTGGGAAATCCACGGAGAGGTTACCAAAATAAGAGCGATCGGACGAGATCAACGCCTCTGAGTAACCCCTAAGAGCGTTCCCCACCCCCCCCCCCCCCCCAAAAAAAAAAAAAAAAAGAGGAAAAAAACCACAAGGGAGGAAACAGCTGCACCTGAAATGATGTGCACGGTTATACTCTCATACCTGATGATCCTACCCCCGCTGCTTCCATGCCTGCCCTCAGCATGGCTCCCCGCAGCTGCCTCAGCCGCAGGTTCGAAGGCCCCTTGTTGTGCAGAATCAAAGGGCAGGATGGGTAGCTGGTCGAAGTCAGCAGCGGCGAGGTTGACGTGATGGATGATGGAGAGCGGCGCGGCCTGGAGGAAGATGCGTGCAGGGTAAGGGAGGGAAGGGTGCAGCAGCAGTGGCGTGATTGATACTACAAGCAGACCCAGCAACGGAGGAGGCCATTTCAGCGAGAGAGACAATTTGAACCTCTCCCGCCTCGTCAGCCAATGAGGCCCCCCCCCTCGCCTTCACTTACCGCCATCCAGTCTCCACATACGCGAGAATCAATCCCACAGGGATTGATCCACACTTGACCAAGGTACCTCATGCTACCTCGCTCTGCCTACCTTGCAAACGGGGCACACAGCTCGTCTCCTGGGTTGCTGTTGACTGCTGACATCAGCATGCGAAGATGTGCCTCGTCCAGCTTCAGCAGCTGCAACGTCAGCATCTGCTGGAAACGCAACATCGGACGGTTGTTGCTGCTGCTGGTGCTGATGGCGTAAGTGCGGAGGGATGATGGGGCAGCGGGTGCAGGACTCGAGCCATCGCACGATGCAGGCGAAGCAGAAGCTGTCTGTCAGTAACCAAGGCTCGACGACGTTCGTCGACGGTTACACCGTTGTAGTTCGTTGAGGGTCGAATCCCACCGCGAAACATTCCGTCGGTTTTACCCGCGAAACGGGGAAGAAGGAAGCGAAGGGAGGAGGAGGAGGAGGAGGATGGGAAAAGGGAAAGCCAGTCAGAACTCGCACATAGGTGTCAGAACGAAATCCTTAGCAAAACAGCATCCGACAGTGGTACCTACGGAACGACTGTGCTGTTGTGTGAAGGGCTATGGCACCCACGGAAGCACGGCTCGAGGAACGCCTCGTCTTGAGGTTCGTCAAGGCAGATCGGACAGACAGACGCCGTGACGGCCATGCATGCCACGGGTGGGTTGACGATAGCAAGGTCAGGTTATGGCAGCACAAGATTCTTCAAGCTGTTCGACCCAAGCGCCTTGCGATGTGACCTAAAACTACCCATGTGGGCTGGACACGAAGTGTGTGGTACAGTGAAGTGAAGTGCGATAGTCGTCGGAAATTCGACAGCTCAGTTCAATTTGCTTGGTGGCGGAATAGAGAGTATGAAATTCCCCGACACACTGTAGGTACTGAAATACAGTGAAGTGCCAGTACACTGTGCCAACGTGTTCAGACAGGTTTGGCTTGACAGGGCCCCACCCCACATGGACTGACGACGGTTTGACGAATTTGGGGGACATTGTAACGATGTGTCTCACGCACTGGTTTCATCGCTAGAGTTGCTCTGTCGTCCCAGCGTGCCCTTCTATTCTCCTACCCACCAACGACCGCCACTCAGTCCCTGCTACAGTACTAAGTTGCCCTAGCTTCTCCTGGTGGAACTTTGCTGGTAACCCGCTGCGCCATATTTAGAGACCGCAGACTTCCAAGATTAAGTTATGGCAGAGAATAGCGGCGCTGACAGCAGCAGCGGGGGACACATTCCGCAGTATATTCCTTCCAAGCACGTTCCATTGACAGACCAGCTAGAAAAGGACAAGGTTCGTTCCGGTACTCGCATGTGCGCTCAGCATTTATTCCTCACCGTACCTTTCACCCGCTATCCTCTTCATTGCGCGATGACTGAATATCAGTGCTTCGTTTCAGGATGACGAGAGCTTACGGAGGTGGAAGGAGAGCCTACTAGGCGAGCTATCGCTCGACGACAAAGGTCGCACTGTCTTCGTATATTCCTTTTCGTGTAGCCGCTTTCTATAGCCCAATGGGATCTTATCAAGCGCAGTTGTTCTTTCCGTGCCAGGCAAGCGAGGAGGCTCGGCGGTCGAGTTTTCGGCTGTGCGGCTGCTCGTGGAGGAGCGGGACCCCATCGTGCTTCCGTTGCCTAAGGACGGCGAGGCCGTGGCGACGCCGGCGAGCTTCGAGCTGAAGGAGCGGTGCAAGTACCGGCTGCAGTTCGAGTTTACAGTCGCGAACGACGTGGTGCTGGGCCTCACGTACGTCAACACCGTGTATAAGGACGGCGATCAAGGTGAGCGCGAAGCGACAGGAGTCTTATTTGGGATTGTTCTTCCGTTTGGCATTGATTCGGAGTGGCCAAAGACTGGATTGATCTGGCCACATGGAATGAAGTGGAGCATTCAGGCTGATTACGACTTGGTGTGTTGGTCAGGGGGGCACGAAGCAGTCGCCTACTTCATCAGGAAATGCGTTCTCTCTCTCTCTCTCTCTCTCTCTCTCTCTCTCTCTCTCTCTCTCTCTCTCTCTCTCTCTCTTTCTTTCTCTCTCTCTCTTGCTCTCTCTCTCTCTCTCTCTCTCCCTCTCTCTCTCTCTCTCTCTCTCTCTCTCTCTCTCTCTCTCTCTCTCTCTTGCTCTCTCTGAGTGTTGGAAGGGTTAAAATGCTGGAAATCCATCAGAGAGATGTTATCGAGCTTTCACTATGCCAGCAGTTTCTGTCATCCCCCTTTGTTCTATAGCTGATTTCACTTCGTCTGTAGGTGCGTTAAGTGGTGTGAGTTTTACAGATGTGCAGGTATGCTTGCACTCCGTCCCCTTCTCCCTTCCCACTGTCTGTTCTTTAATTTCCTTCTTGTACCTAACGTTGTTGCAGTGGATACTTCTAAGGAGATGCTTGGAGCATATGCGCCCCAAGCGAAGCCATATGTGTATGTGACTGAAGAGGAGACAACGCCTGATGGAGAGGAGGTCCGTGGCAAATATACAGCAGAGACAAAGGTGCGAGTTTCTGTGCATGTGTCTTCTTCCTATTTTCTATATTGTATCGAAGCATGCATTGGCTATTTGTTTAACGCATTGTCAGCTTGTTCAATCGCTTACTTGCTATCTTCTTCCCTCCCATTCCGCAGTTCACTGACGACGATGGAAAAGTTCACTTGACATTTTCTTACTCTTTTGAGATTAAAGAAGACTGGTAGTCTGTTGTTGACTCATTAACTGATCACTATTTTTGGAAAATTACGGTACGGTTTTACAATAGAATTATTCCATGCTGTTTGCAGCAACCTCGCTCTGATGTATATATCAGATCCCCTCGGTATGGTGGTTCATTGTAGCGTTATGTGAGTAAATAAAAACATACTGAAGCTGATCCTTTATTTTCCTATGTGATTTCACTATGAAGTTGTCTGAGTAGTGCGCTTCTGTGCCCCACTCGCAATGTAATGAATGCTCACGCGTGGCTCCTTATGATTGGCGCAAGAACCTCTGATGGATTTCTTCTCCACAGCGTGGGGAGGGGATGCGTAAGAACCTACGTGGATTTCTTCTCCTTATGATTGGCGCAAGAACCTACGTGGATTTCTTCTCCCCACAGCACACTGCTGTGGGGAGGGGATGCGTACAGCGTATCGTACCTACACAGCACACAGACGAATTAACTCGTATAGACTGAATCCAGTAGTTCACTTGAGCAGTCTTTACTTCGATAGCGTTCCCTGCCTCCCATTAGCAGCAGAATCTCCCTTCTCCTGCGTCTATTTAGCATCCAGCAGTGTTACACACACAACGTTGCCACGCGTTTCTTTAATTGCCAGCACAGCATGACGTCCACCAGTTCCACCAGTTCTTTAAGAGCCATGACGCGAACTTTTCTAACCGATGGTGTGACGGCACAAGACATCGCTCTGCCGCATAGATGTGCGCCTCCAGCATCCCGCACGCTGTCGCTTCTTTCATCCACCAGTAGAATAGCGCCGCACTTTCCCCGGAGTACCCGGCGTGTTTTGACGCGAGCAGACCCGAAAGGGGACGCAAGGGAGCTATGGCGCCGCGAGATTGAAGCTGATTCGGCAGCAGCAACAGATTTTGAGGCGGTAGATGCCGACACAGTAAGGGAAGAGGCGCAACGATTGACGCGTAAGCAAGTCATGGAGCGGCTCGACAAGGCGAGCTATCAGGAGCTTCGCGAGCTGCAGGAGAGCGGTTACGACTCCGATGGTGGCAGCACGCGGCCCGGGCTTGGTGGGAAGAGCGCGGAGAGCGGAGAGATTTCTTGGAAGGAGGTGGTGGATAAAATTTTGGTTGCGGACTTCTTTTTAATCACGATCGCTCTTGTCTGGTTTTTAACAGGTGTATTGCAGCGTTCTATCTCGAATGACGACGGGCTGCTGCTGGCGTGGTTGAAGCTGTGGGACCCCTTGTTCCAGCCAGCCATAGGCGTGTTCATGGGCTCTGCTGTGTTACAGGCTGTGCTTAAGAAAAGAGATTAAGTGCTTGATTTGCCTAACCCTCTTAAAATGCGGGGGTATCTGGAGAGAGAGGAGGGGGGGCAGGATGAGAGCTGCAAGTTCTCAGATAGGTAGTACCTATCTGGCCTGAAGTCTAAATTCAGTTTATTACGATAAGGGTTTGTTGATATGGTATTGCCGTATTCTCCCGGACATAGGGTGTTATGATAAATACAGGAAAAAAATTGGGGGAGGGGGGGGGGGGGGGGGGGGGGGGGTTCATCGGAAAAAGCTACATACTACCTCGTATGACATTTTTTAATATGATAATTTTTGAAAGTGTAATGAAATGTAACACTTTCTAAAATTTTGTATTGTGAAAAGGGGTACGTGGCCAACACAGCAAAGGTAGCGCCGAAGCGCTACTCACCCTCTTTTGCCTACAAAAGAGGGACGTGGGGACATTCGTCCCCACCCACGTTTCCATTTTCAAAATTGTAGTTCTAATTTCGTTCTCGTCCACACTGGCGAAGACTCAGTCGCTTCCGCGTTTCACTGCCCCGTCAACGCTCCTTAACGACATCCTTAAGCGCAACCTCGCAACGATGGCTCCAGTCAACCCGGCACTTAACCGCGACAATTCGAATCATTCTAGCCCCGGTAACGCTGCGGAAACCTCGACTCCGGCCGTGACAACGGATCGTCGCGGCGGAAAACGTCCCGCCGAGGAAATTTCAAGCGAGGGACCCTCGGCGGTCGACCTCCTGCTCGGAGGCACCCTTCGGACCCCCCCTAAGGAACGCGCGACTGTTGTACAGGCACGCGTGGCTGCTGCTGAAGAGCGTGTGCCTGGCAGGCACGCGCGTGCTGCGCAGAAGACGACGACCGCCGCTGACGCGGCGGTCGTCTTGACCGGCGCTGACGCGGGTCCATCCGGGCCCACGACCCAGAAACGCCAGCGCGCGGCACCCTCCGTTGACGTCACCCCGGTCAACGCCGCCCCCACCCCTTTGACCGCGCAGCAACTAAAGGCGCTGCTCTCGTTATTGCAGCAGCACGCACCGTCGACTGCAGCTACATCAGCTGAAGAAGTTTCTGCGTCAGCTAAAATCGAAAAGCAGAAGGAACCTGTCGCGGCTCCCCGCTCCACCAAAATCGCTCGCACCAACAACGCTGCTCCTGCTCCCGCCCCAGCTCCGGCACCAACCCAAGCCCGTATCCCCGACAACAGCGACGACTCAGAAAATGAAGACGGTGAGGCCCCCGACAACCTTGCCCGTCGTCGCATTCTCGCACCCGCACCTCCCCTTCCCCCCCTCAACCCTTCACCCGCAGCGACTACCTTCATGCGCAAGGGAGTGCGTGACCAGGCGGAGGTGTTCTCTGCAATTCAAGCTCACCTGAGGCACGTCGAGTTCAAGCTCCAAAACGGCAACGTCGAGGGCGCGCTCTCCAACGTAGAGCAAATCGACACGTTGATCAACAAACGCTTCGAGGTGCTCTTGGTGGCGGATGTGGCCGGTTTCGAAGCGGCGGATCGGTTCCAGCTGTACCAAGCCAAGAGCGTGCTCACATCCCGCTCTTACAAGCTCGCGGTAGTCGACGTGGCGGCCCTCAAGCGTGCACGTACCGGCTTCGCCCGCGGAGGCCGCCTTCCCCCTCGAGACGGTGAACCGGAAAGCAAAGGCATGCCACCCGCGGGCTGCCACGAGCCCCGATTCAAGGGGGTGTGTTTCCGTTGCGGCCAGCCCGGCCACATGGCAAATAATTGCCCTATGGGAGGGCGTGGCGCACAAGGTCCCGCACCCGTGGTGTGAGAGGACCCATGGGGCGGCGCCCCTTGCCACTATGTCGGGGGGCGTAGGTGGATGCACCGGTGGTGCGTAGGCTGGTTAGGAGCCTTGGGGAGTAGGATAGGCCATGGGGGCCAGGGCAAGATGGCAGCCGTAGGGGCTGGTTATGGTGTAGGCTTGGCTTGTATGCCTTTGTGTGGATTAATAAAAGATTGTTGTTATTGAAAAAAAAAAAAAAACGAACAATGGAGAGAGAGAAAGGGAGCCAACACGAAACGAGAAGACAAATGGCACAACAAATAAAACATCAGCCCCCTCTTGAGGAAGGCAGCCACGGAGGAGGAATTGGCCAGGAGTGCAAGACAAAGCAAGGACCGAGAGAAGAACAAAGAAGAAGGAGAGAGAGAGAGAGAGAGAGAGAGAGAGAGAGAGAGAGAGAGAGAGAGAGGGAGAGAGAGAGAGTGAGAGAGAGAGAGAGAGCGAGGGAGAGGGAGGGAGAGCAAGATAGAGAGAGAGAGAGAGAGAGAGAGAGAGAGAGAGCGAGGTAGAGAGAGAGAGAGAGAGAGAGAGAGAGAGAGAGAGAGAGAGAGAGAGAAAGAGAGAGAACGAGGGAGGGCGAGAGAGATAGAGAGAGAGCGAGAGAGAGTGAGAGAGAGAGAGAGAGCGAGAGAGAGAGAGAGAAAGAGAGAGAGAGAGAGAGGGAGACGGAGAGAGAGAGAGAGCGAGAGAGGGAGAGAGAGAGAGAGAGAGAGAGAGAGAGAGAGAGAGAGAGAGAGAGAGGAACTATCACGACGACATCGTAAGGAACAAGGTCGTGGGACCAAGTGACGCAAATGCGCCGATCTCGTTGTAAGGCAATGTAAAAAGAAAAAAAAAACCTTGCAAGGGTATTAAAGCTGATGACTGCGCAAGCAAAGTAAAAAAAAAAAAAAAAAAAACCCCGGGAGTGCGGGGAGGCACGACGGCGATAGAAGACAAGCGACATAGTTTGCCCGACGAAGTGTCCCATATTATCTCGCGTCTAATCGACCTTGGCCCTGGTCCCCCCCCACACAACCTCGGTTGCCCATTAATTGCAGAAGTGGAAGGCGAGTGGCGGAGTGCTCATTGGGACCCATACGAGCACGCAATAACGGACAACATGGTGTCCATCATGCGAATGCGATTGCGCAACAGCCTCCATTGGTGGCTATCATGGTGCGACAGCAGTCTTATCCTTTCCATCATTGCCAAAGGGTACTGGCTACCATGGAAGGGCACAGAGCCTCTCCCCTTCGAAGCGCCCAATCACGCAGGCGTTCAAGCACACATGGCATTCACCCAAGACACGGTTAGCGACCTCATCGCGTCAGGCGCCGCGATGCATGTCTCGTCGAAAGCCGCACTGACGTGCATCAGCCCGCTCAATGTTGTGGAGCAACGAGACAAATGCCGGCTCATCCTTGACCTGCGGAAGGTCAACGCTCACCTCCAAGTTCCCAAGTTCAAGTACGAAGGCTTGAGTCGGGTCGCGGAAATCATTCGCCCACACGACTGGATGTTCACAATCGATCTCAAGTCAGGCTACCACCACGTCGAAATCCACCCATCATGCTGGAAGTTTTTGGGTTTTCAATTGGGCGGAAAATTCTATTGCTTCACATCTTTACCTTTTGGCCTGGCAACAGCCCCGTTCATCTTCACCCAGCTTATTAAGCAACTAGCCAAGAGATGGCGCGCGCGCGGAGTGCGCGTAATACCATACGTGGACGATCTACTATTCCTCTGCAACTCCGAGGCGCAAGCCCGTTCGACGTGCGTCGAAGTTCTCCACGACTTGAAGGCGGCAGGATTTGTGATAAATTCTAAGAAATCACACCTGCATCCCGCACACCACTTGCACTTTTTGGGGATGGAGCTTGACACGGAACGAGGGATGTTCCTGGTCGGAAAGGATCGGCGCGAACAACTACTGCAGGAGCTCCACCTACTTATACAAAAAGGGCAATCGGGTCGTCAACTGCCGATTCGCAAGATAGCCCGGATCACTGGATTTCTCAGCTCCATGTCGCTCGCGCTGGGCACGACGGCGCGGGCCTTCAGCCATGAGCTGCTCCACTTGATCGACTCCGCATGGTCATGGAACTCAAAGGTTTTATTGTCACCAGGAGCGACCGAGGAGCTGCTATTTTGGACAATGCACTTTGATCGTTTCAATGGCGCCCCATTCCACCAGAGTCAGCGTTTTGATGCAGTGATACACGTCGACGCGAGCGCGCACAGCTGGGGTGCCACCTTGGCCAAGTTCCCAAGTACATCATGCGAGGCAAGCGAGTGCATGCCACAAGGGCTTCTCCCCACATCTAGTACGCGGCGAGAGCTCGAGGGAGTGCTCTCGGCACTACGGACGTTCGCAACCCAAATCGTGGGCGCTCACGTCCTCATCCGGGTGGACAACCAGGCAGTCATGTTTATCTTGCGCAAGGGGGGACCCCGTCAGGCGGATCTTACGTCGACATGCCAAGCGATCATCCAGTTCTGCCTCGGCAACACAACACGCCTCGCGATTGAATGGATTCCGAGGGAGCTGAACGCCCATGCGGATGACCTATCCAAGATGCAAGATTTTGATGACTACTCCCTACATGCACCTTGGTTTCGCCTCTTGGAACGACGCTGGGGGCCTCACACAATTGATCTCTTTGCTAACGTTCGGAACAATCACGTTCAGCGCTTCTGCTCCAAGATACCGCACCCCGACGCATTCGCCGTCGACGCATTTTCCATCTCGTGGAAAGGCGAGCGATGCTTTGCCTTCCCGCCTCCACACTTAATTCCCGCTACACTCCGCCACGCGGAACTGACGCAGACAGAACTCACGCTCGTCGTTCCCCAGTGGACCGGAGCGTCATGGTGGCCGCTTCTTCAACCGTCCACTCAATCGTGGGCTCCAGCAGTAGTCGAGCACCTTTCCCTTGCCCAAGGCAGTCAATGCCTTCGGGCAGGTTCACACACAGCTGCATTCTCTGGTCTCGGATTGCCTCATAGCCCAATCATTGCTTTGCGTGTAAACTATGCAGTCTAATAACAATTTCTCAATGTGTCATTTCAGGACTTTTGGCCAAACTAAAGCAACAATTGCTGCACGTAATTAGCCACGTTCGCGCACCATCTACAATCGAGACGTACCAACCTTATTGGCAGAGATTTCGCACCTTCTGTACCCAAGTTAAGCTCGAGTTCCTCCCGGCAACCGACCTGACGCTAGCG